ATCCAATTTAACATGGTGTGTGATGACGTGAGTGGTGGCCCTGGCTGACAACAAAAAAAAATGTAAGACACAAGTTCCTCAAAGAGAGTCCACGTGGGTGATAATCTGTGGCCGGGCTTATCAGTGTGAGGGAAGCTCCCAGCACATCCTGTTGGTGACGCAGCGCCGGGGCCATGCCTACGCAACGCGCGGCTGCGAGGAATGACCGCCGTGCAACTCGTCCTCCGGCCCCCAAGACGTGACGAATAAATCTGAAGGAAATGCCGAGACATCTTGGGATGGCGAGTCGTACGGTGGTGGGGGGAGAGCGATATGCGCACCACTACCGTAACCTGCACAACGGTGGGTGGAGCCTTACACTAGGCCTGTCGAAAGGTTGCGCGCGCAACGTTTGCGATGCCGCAGCGAGGAACAGGATAGGTTTAGTGCCCTCTAGTATCTTTCCTCCGCCACGGTGAGCCTGTGACCTGGAGAGGGAGTTAGCTTCCAAACGCCTCGGTTGGCCGTGGTGCACAATCACGACAACGCTATCCGAAAGAGAAAATTACATATGAAGAATGGCCATTTGCCCAATACTTCACCTGTAAGTGATTTTTCAGTCTACGTTACTTGCAGCCTCTATTTGTGTCGTTTAGCACATCACGGTTGAGATGGGATGGTCAACAAAAATAAAAAAATGAAACAATGTTTTACTCAATTAAACAATTTTCATTTTACCAGTAAAGCCCACTGAACCACAATAGGTATTTTTGAGAAGCAACCTGGCCACAAATAATAGCTCAACGAAGTGGATTATCATCGCATGGAAATAAATAGCAGCCAAATACTCTAAACGCGTGATGCCGATTATAAATGTGGAGGGAAAAACCGGAGGATCCCGAGAAAAATTCACGCGACCACGGGGAGACCCATGCAAACTCAAAATATATGGCAGGCGTCAGTGTTGGGATCGAACCCACAACCTCCTGCACAACAGGCGAGGTAGTTAACATCTCGCCGCCGAGGTAGTTTACCGTCTCATTTTCTTCACGAGCGCTGCAAGTCCTGTGCATCGCAGCACACGCTGCACGCCAAGCACCCCGCTTCACAGTGGGCAGAGCGCAACAACAACAACAACAACAACCGCCATTCGCCACTAAGTGGCGGTGACGTCACCACGACGCTTGTGCCAGGCTATGTGCACCCTGAGGCCACGTGAAGTGTCGAACGCCCGCTGGCAGGAGGTCACGGGGCAGACCCAGGTGCCACGGGTCGACTGACTGAGATGACTGGCTGATGCACCACCTGTGCCCCCTACTGTGCCAACCTGCTGTGCTTTAGCCACCCGGCGCTCCGCTCGCTGTTGTGAGCGTCGCTCCTCCGCCCTCCGTTGTTGTTGGAGGGCGACTGCCTCCAACTGCCCAGTAGCATCCTTCACGAGCCTCCTCCACAGAGGCCGATCTTGACACCGCTGGTACCAGTCATCGGCAAGTCCACTCAGCTCCACGTCCTCCTGTACCACATCACTCCATCTCTTCTCTAGCCCGTGCCGCGCCCGCTTAGCCCCCTCAATCCGGCCAAACAAAAGCTGTTTCGGCATGCGGTGGCTGGGCATGCGGGCTACATGACCCAGCCATCGCAGCCTTGCCTGCCGGAGGAGCTCACCGATGGGACCCTGCCCAGATCTTTCAAGGATTTGTGAGCTCCTCACACAATCCAGTCTGGTTAAACCCAGGATGGATCGTAGGCAGGTCAGCCTAAATGTTTCTAACCGGCGAAGATGTTCCATTAGGGGGGTCCACGTTTCGCAAGCGTAGAGAAGGGAGGGAATGACCGTGGCCGAGAAGACCTGAAGCTTAGTGCGGAGCGACAGACCAGGTAGCTTCCACACAGCGTTACGCAACCGATGAAAAGATATTGCCGCTCGACTGATTCGGAGTGAGACCTCTGCTGTTAAACTGGAGCCAGTCATAAGCACACTGCCCAGGTATGGGAAACTCTCCACTCTCTCCACAACTGCCCCATCACCGATTGGGAGTTGTGGGGGTGGAGTGTCCGATGGTACAAAATACCCAGGCAGGTGCTTAGTTTTGGTGGGGCTGATGGTAAGGCCCCACCTCTTAGTGGCACGCTCCAGTCTCAGCAGCAGCGTCTCCAACTCCTCCTCTGACTGAGCCGCTATTACCAAGTCATCAGCATACATAACGTGGTTGAGCAATAGGGAGCCATCCCTTGACCGCACCCGGGCATCGATTAGCCTCCCATTATATCTGTACCATATGGAGATTCCCCCGGTACAGCTATTGAAGGCTTCACGAACTACGTGGTCAAAATAGATGTTAAATAATGTGGGAGCCAGAGGACATCCCTGTCGCACCCCAAGGTGTACAGGGAATGGCTCTGACTCCCGGCCACGTAGTTTTACCCGGGCCCGCTCACCATCATGAAGGTCCTTAATGATCGTGAGCAGAGGGTCAGGTACTCCAAAAGCACGAAGAACGACCCAGAGCCCAGGCCTACTGATGGTATCATAGGCCTTGACCAGGTCAATAAAGCAGAGATGTAGGTCTTGTTGGAATTCCCTACACCTCTGCTGTAGCAGACGGACAGAAAATATGGCATCTGTGCAGGACCGCCCTTTCCTGAAACCCAATGCGGTTTCAGGGCAGAGCGCAGCACACACACACACACACACCCGTGTACTCACGCGAGCATCCACGTTGGTGAAGCGCGTTATCGCTGCCACTTGCGCTACAACGCGCCGCATAGTTCTACACTTGTGAACACTGAGCATTTTATGCGTGGTGCACAAGAGACACGCACGCACGCACACACACAAGCGCGTGCATTATTCCAAGGCATGCTTGCAATGCGGGCAGTGGAAGGAAGGCGTTACAAAGCTTCTCTGGACGTGTTGTCCACTGTGCGCGCAGACTGCATGTTACATAAAGATTGACAGCGCTATGAACATGGTCCAAGTTGAACATCCTCATCTAGAGGGTTGATCACACGTGGTAATAGCGGTAGTCAAAAGCATGTATGTTGAACTTCCTTCGCAACTGTACGTAAGCCAACCGTGCGAATCGGAGGTGCGGGGGAAGGACAACAAACTATGGGCAGCGTTGAGTCTATGGGCAGTGTTGAGTCGATGGGCAGTGTTGAGTCAATGGGCAGTGTTGAGTCGATGGGTAGTGTTGAGTCTATGGGTCGTGTTGAGTCAATGGGCAGTGTTGAGTCTATGAGTAGTGTTGAGTCTATGGGTAGTGTTGAGTCTATGGGTAGTGTTGAGTCTATGGGTAGTGTTGAGTCTATGGGTCCTGTTGAGTCAATGGGCAGTGTTGAGTCTATGAGCAGTGTTGAGTCTATGGGTAGTGTTGAGTCTATGGGTAGTGTTGAGTCTATGGGTAGTGTTGAGTCAATGGGCAGTGTTGAGTCTATGGGTAGTGTTGAGTCAATGAGTAGTGTTGAGTCTATGGGTAGTGTTGAGTCTATGGGTAGTGTTGAGTCTATGGGTAGTGTTGAGTCTATGGGTAGTGTTGAGTCTATGGGTAGTGTTGAGTCTATGGGTAGTGTTGAGTCAATGGGCAGTGTTGAGTCTATGGGTAGTGTTAAGTCTATGGGTAGTGTTGAGTCTATGGGTAGTGTTGAGTCAATAGGCAGTGTTGAGGCTATGGGTAGTGTTGAGTCTATGGGTAGTGTTGAGTCTATGGGTAGTGTTGAGTCTATGGTGCAGTGTTGAGTCTATGGGTAGTGTTGAGTCAATGGGCAGTGTTGAGTCTATGGGCAGTGTTGAGTCTATGGGCAGTGTTGAGTCTATGGCCAGCGTTGAGTCTATGGGCAGTGTTGAGTATATAGACAGTGTTGAGTCTATGGGCAGTGATGAGTCTATGGTGCAGTGTTGAGTCTACGGGCAGTGTTGAGTCTGCGGGCAGTGTTGAGTCTACGGGCAGTGTTGAGTCTACGGGCAGTACTATGTCGGTTGTGATGTGCCGTCGCTGGTCACTACTTGACGGGGTCGTGCAGAAACAATGCAAGGCAGGAGGCCTCTCGCATGTCACAAAGGAGGGAAGCAGACAAAGGGGCCCCGAGTGATCTGTGGGACGCGCTAGAGGAGGGGTCCCAAGTTACTCACAGGTGCCACGAGGCGTCCACGCAGCGTGCACTGCACGAAGGTTACGATCCACATCTAAGCCGATTCCACCACAGCCCTCAGACCATGGAACCCAATGGGTTTTTTAAAAATCATTTCATTACCCGCAATTCGTGATGGCACATAGCAAACGTTGCGCCACAGTCGGCTATTGCCATGTGTTTTGCTTGGCAGGGAAAAGGGGGGGTTTGTTTTTGGTAATTTTTCTACAGTTGACTCGCGATTGCGCTAATCGGCGTCAAATCAAGAGACAAAGTACCCATTTGCATCTCTCACAAAGCAGCGCGAAAACTCTTCAAGTGAGATAACGGCCCGCGAAAGCGGACACCCTAGAGCTTCCTCTGAAATCCCTTCAAGTGACCCTCTGGTTCACACAATAGAGAACAGCATCTTCCCCACCCCACTCGTCAACAAACTGATATTTTTTTTACTAAAGTAAGAGCAGAACCAATTTTACGCGGTGGATTTTGTTGTTGTTGTTATGCAGTTATTGGCAACCGAGCTATAACCATCACATTCGCTACAGTTGAGAAGCCGGTTTAATCACAGGCACAGCTGCCTGAATTCAAAGCCAGGACCCTTATTTATCGGTGCCAGCTCGACGCTCTTGACCTCCGAGTCACCCGGTCACCTTCGGGCCATCACCTTGTGAGTATTCTTATGAACGTACGCGCTCACTCGTTCCCTCGCTCCTCACTCGTTAACTCGCTCCTCACTCGTTAACTCGCTCCTCACTCGTTAACTCGCTCCTCACTCGTTAACTCGCTCCTCACTCGCGCCTCACTCGTTCACTCGCTCAAGACCTCAACGCCTTTCATTTTCCCCACCGGCGTGGCAGTGGCCACAGCACGCGGGGCGGCTCCGTCGGTACCTGACATCGTGAGCGGGTGGGCGGCGTAGGCCTTCTGCTGGCTGAACGGCGTGCACGCCAGCATCTGCGCCGTCTCCACGGGAACGGGCACCGCCTCCTCGTGGCCCAGCGAGGAGCGCGGTGACGGCAGCTGCAGCTCGGGGTAGCCGGCGCCAGAACCCCGGGAACTGCGCGAGCTGTGGCTCGACAGACTTGAGCGCGGGCTGACCACGGCGTGGAACGGGTGCTGGTACTGCTGCTGCTGGTGCTGCTGCTGCTGGTACTGCTGTTGGTACTGCTGCTGGTGCTGCTGCTGCTGCTGCTGCAGCTGCTGCAGCCCCACGTGTCCGGCGCCCGCGTGGAGGCCGTGCGGCACGCGGAAGGCGTCGAAGTCGCCCGTGTAATTGGTGTAGCTCTCGCGCGGGCTGACGGCGTGCGAGTACTGGCTGCCCGTGCTGGACCGCGGGCTCATCGCGGGGCAACGGTCGTCATAGCCCATGCTGATCCCGCTCGTGCGGTTGCTGCCGCCGACCGTCACCGCAGCGGCCGCGGCCGCCGCGGCCGCGGCAACAGCGGCGGCCGCACCGCCCGCCGCTTCCGCGGAGTGACCGATGAGGCTGGCGCGCGGGCTGGCCGGCAGCTCGCCGCCGTAGCCCAGGCTAGAGCGGGCGCTGCCGGGGGCCGCGCCGGCCGCGTCGTCGCGCTGGCTCGCGTACAGAGAGCCCGGCGCCAGCACGAGGCTGGACCGCGGGCTGGCGTACTTGTCGAACGGGCCCGTGTAGGAGCCGCGCGGGCTAGGCAGGCCGTGAGGATGATCGGACGGCTGCAGGCCCAGGCTGGAGCGAGGGCTGCCGGCGAGCCGAGGGTCCTGGAGTGACGAGGGGCCGCCCGGCATCGCCATTCCGTTGCCGCCGCCAATGCGCGTGGAGGTGTCGTAGGAGGCGCCCAGGCTGGCGCGCTTGCTCTCCTGGGAATACCTGCGGAAGCGAACACGCGGGTTGATGCGACGACGGTATAATGGGATATAGGCAGTTTGCGCAGGGTTCAAACGGTGCAAAAACCAAATACGCGCATAAGAACGAGTCGTATTGGTTAGTTTCGTAATCCAAAGGATACGTTTTGAGGAGTGAAAGCTCACGTGGATAGCACTGGCATCGCGGGATGCTTGTGAACTTCTAACGGGATAGAAAACGCCCCCAACTTTTCTCAGACCCTGATGGTTTTAATGTTTGTTTTCGGCCTAAGGTACCTGCAGACTCTACTTGTCTCTGGATCGGAGCGTTACGGTTGAGACGAGACTATCATCGGTTTTGTTTGCGAGCGCTGCGAGTCCAGCGCACAGCAGAGCACGCCACACCGAGCCCACCGCTCACAATGGGCAGCACGCAGCACACGCGTGCATCCACGTTTGTGAAACACAACGCGTGTGGCAGACACGGTACACGCTGCGTTATCTCTGCCACCTGCGCTACGCACGCGCCGCACAGTTACACACACTATGCACTTTTATATCTAGATTGAAAATGTTGAAAACTAATTTCTTTAGAACTGCTTTTTGTGTTTAGTTTCCTGTCCTTCCCTCGCACCTCCGATTAGCACGGCTGGCTATGTACGGTGCAAAAGAAGTTCAACATACATACACACACTTGTGAATTCTGTACATTCGCCCAGACAAAACATAGTATGTTCACATTTTAAAAATGCTTCGTACAGAATGTACAATATGTTAACAATAGCGGTGTCTTTAAACAACATTTTTTTACGAGTAGAGGATTTTAACTCATCAGTTAAAGCCACTGTTTACAGGAAGTTGTAAACCAAAACGACTATCTAGGCATTTCTTTGCAGCAATTGAAATGGACATTATCAGCATGAGGTGGGTGATTTCCAACGTTCAAACAGGTTCTGTCAATGGCTAAGGCACAATTCTTAAATTTTCTCGTTTCAGTTTCACCTTTCAAGGGTGGCAATGACACCAAATCACAAATGGACGTCTCAACTGGTCAGAGGGAAGACACTGTGCAGTTTTGCCTGCAAAGCTGCAATCAAACCTTCTGCTGGAGGGCCATCGATTCACGCAAAGCAGTGGCCGGGATTAAACCCAGGTTCTCAGAGCTGTTTACTCGGTCGCTGTCGGAGGGAGTGCAAGCCATAAGCTTCCCTTTCAAACGCCAATGCCTCACGAAATGCACAAAACCCATTTTAGCTCCGAAGAGGCGCCCCCTTTGCAACAAAGTAGAACGTGAACAATGGCGACGTTTCCTGTTATGACTGCTTAAAGTATTCTCCGCAAAATGGATTACTGTTAATAAAAAAATAAACAACCGTGCCACGCTGTGTGTAGAAGGCAGTATTTTACAACACACGGTGCACTTCACCCAACATATATGTTCCGCTTGCACATACCGCAATTTTGCAATGTGTATATATATAAAAAAAATAAAAACACAATCGCAAATACTACCTCGCCTGGTATGGAGGAGGTCGTGGGTTCGATCCCGACCCTGACGCCTGCTGTGTATTTAGAATTTGCGCGTCTCTCTCTCTTCCCGTGGTCCCGTGGCTTTTTCTCCGGGTCCTTCGGTTTTTCCCTCAACATTTTGAAACAAAATCACGCGTTTAGAGTAATTCGGCTGCCATAAATGTCCACATGGTGATCAGCCACGTCTCGTCGTGTTATCATTTGTGGCAAGGTTGCTTCTGAATAAAGAGTCACATAGCGAAGTGGGCCTTCCCCTGGTATAATAAAAAATAGTTAAGTTTTATAGCTTCTAACGCTCGAGAATTTGACGGCGTCCTCTAGATTCCAGCGCGGAGCAAAGCACCGCGAGAGTCGTGGGCCACGCTGGCTAACCCCTCGGCTCGCGCGGCTTTTGCCTTCACCTGGATTAACCCGACGCGGCCAGGTGTCGCCGCTGAAGCGCGCTTTCCATCCCTTCATTCACGCGTCAAAAAATAAAAATAAAAAACGCAAAAACGCCGCCGAGCGCGCGGGAGCCTTCAGGCGCCGTGCTCCGGCAACTAGCACCAGTGAGAGACACCGCCGCGTGTGTAGCTGCTGGCACGGAATGCGACGGATAAGCCGGCACCTGCACTTGCACCGCGATTCGGCACCGGCCGTCATGAAGCAGTTACGTTACACGTACGTAACGTTGAACTTCTTTCGCACCGTCACGTAGCCAACCGTGCCAGTCGGAGGTGAGAGGGGGAAGGTGAAAAGTAGGATGCCGAGGGGGGGTAGGTGGTGTGAAATATCTGGGTGCCCTGCATCCCCCTCCGAAACTTTGGCTGCGCTTTAATTCGGGTGAGCATCGACTCGTAAAAAACTGGAGGTGTACGTCCAGTATGGTGAACTTCTTTCGCACCGTAAGTGGGTCTCTGTGCGGGCCTGTGGGACCCTGCGCGGGCCTGTGGGACCCTGCGCGAGCCTACGGGACTCTGCGCGAGCCTATGGGTCTCTTCGCGAGCCTATGGGCATCGCCATGTACTTTCAGGTCGTGCCACGCAGTCTTTGGCGGAGCAATGTCCTCCTCCTCCTGCGACGTCGAGCGCTTCACGAATTCGGTCGCCGAAGAAGCAACCCCGGGCACGCGGAGCGAAACGTCGGACGTCATACCGGACGACTCGCGGTAAAACGTGGGAACGCACCGGAGGGTTATCGCACGGTACAACCACAGCTGCCTCCAGCGAAGCATCGCATCGAGGTTACTCGCAAAGTTCCCTCAACTTCTCCGCCTCCTCACTTTGATACCAATTTTCTCTCCGGCTGCAACGCAGTTAGGGTGCAATGCACACGCCAAGATTTCTATTAAAAACTATGGCAACTATTTAACCATTTTTTATTTATTTTACGAGGTAAAGTCCACTTGGCTACCCAGCTCTTTTTCAGAAGCGACATGGCCACAAACGATAGCTCAACGAAGTGGCTTATCATCGCGTGGAAATGTAAAGCAGGCAAACACTTCAAATGCATGTTTCCAAATGTGAAGGGAACAGCCGGAGGACCCGGAGAAAAGTCCACGCGACCATGGGGAGAACATGCAAACTCAAAAAATACAGGCAGGTGTCAGGGTTGGCATCGAATGCAGGACCTCCTGCATACCAGGCGAGAGAGTAAAGTGAAACAACCGATTTGTGGAACTCCAGTTCCCTGACCGCCTACACCGGATACACACCATCGCCATTTCAGGCCCACTCCATTCCCGCTGCACTTTAAAAGGCTTCACCCATCCGCAAATTATCCTCACCTTTACCATGACGGTAAAAAATAATGTTTACACAATTTCTCCTGCTGTCTGCATTACCGCGCATCTTGCATCGCCGTTCATCGACAATCGACCGCGGCGCGACACGGTCGCCGCTTGAAGCGGCGCAGCCGCACCCGGCCGCCTCGCTTTGCCAAATTTACGGAGGCACCGCAGAAAATGACTGGGGATTGGGGGGGGGGGCGGAGCGTGGCAGCCAAGGTTAGGTCAAAGGTGTCGCGACGATCAGCGACGTGCAGCATTTACAACACTCGCCGTAGCCAGGCTATCGCTTCGGCAGCAAACTCGGCACACGTGCCCGCTCGACGCGTTATCGCAACGCAAAACGTGCCAGCCGCTTTTGCAGCGCCTGACAAGGGGGGGGGGGCGGCCCTCGGCGCCATCCGCAGCCGCGACGTTTCCTAAAGCACTGGCCGTCCCTTCAGAATGAGAAAATGTCCATTTGTGCTGGAGGAATTATCCGACATGCTACAGAAAGCTATATTTTTTAACAGATGTCCAGTATCATCACCACGGTCGCATTGCCATGATCAGAATATTTTAGAATCGGATGCTTTCTTTAGACTGGAGGAGTAATCCGATGAGCTGCAAAGTTGTCCAGTAGGGGCACGGGGTCAGAGCGTTACAACAACAAACGATACAAAAACACGATAGGAGTTGAAAGTATAGGAAAGGTCAACAAAATCACTTAAAAAAAATAAGAGTATTATTTATCTTACCAGGTAAAGTCACTGACCTATCAATTTAGTTTTCAGAAGCTACCTCGCCACAAGCAATAGCTCGAAAAAAGTGGCTTGTCACGTGGACATTTATAGCAGCAAAAAATCATCTAAATAATCCAAACACATCACTCCTTAACAAAAGCAGGTGCACCCCATGGCGAACGCGATCGCAGCAGTGGGCACGAGCGACGGTCGAATGCCAGCAGATTTATTATAAAAGCAGATGGTGTAAGCTCTCTACAAAGTAAACGCTACTTCGAATCGAGTGCAAATATTTTTGGAGAGAGGGGAAAAAAAATCTGAAGCGTATTTAAGTAAAATGCGTATTTAAGTGAGACCGAGTTGAATGATTATGCTCGTGTTACAACTTGTTAAGCAAATACCTTAGGAGATGATTGTTGATAAAATTCTACAACTATAAACAACTTTTTCTATTTACAACAATTACACGGTGTAAGGTTTAACGCAAAATGACCAGAAACGTGACATGCATGTGTAACATGCACCGTACAGAGTGAACATTTAAAACGAACATTTAAAAATACCAACTTGAGGGCATCGTGGCCAAAGAACTCTACATTAGTGATCACAAAGAGTAACAAAAACAGAATCGTTTTTAAATTAAGAAGCTAAACAATCTCAATTTTCAAAAATCTTCCTAAAGATCAACTTTTACACGTTTCACCCTCGGGGGTAGGGAATGTCAAGTAACTGCAGAATAACAATCAAAGTCACCATCACGTACACGCCCTCGGCACCAGTGAAAGGGAGCGAGAGAAAGGGGGCACGCAAAAGGTGAGAGCCGTTTTCAGTGCTCGTACGATGCGCGAGGGAAAGAGCCCAAGCCTAGCATCACGCGTGATGCTCACACATCACAGAGCACCAGGGCAGGCTGGCCACCTTTAAACATTCCCGTGTCAGTGAGCAAGGCTAGAAGGGGATGATGGCGGGGGGGGGGGGGAGCTCACTGCTCGCAAACAGCCTCGTGCC